TCAGTGGAAATGAAGTGAATGAATGAACATTAAACCTTAAGCTGAGGGGGTCCACCATTCCTGGCTGGATGGTGTGCTGCTGAGGATGGGGGAGTATGAGGGGCACACTGGCATCTGAAGGAGGGCCAGCCCAAAAAGGAGCCCCTGCAGAACCAGGGTGGATATCACTGTCCTTCTCAGAGCCACAGTCTTTAGAAGAAGGGTTGTCAGAGCCATGTTCCTGTTTGCTTTGTATTGTATTCAGCTCTACAGTAGGGCTATTCATCCCGCCACCATGCACCTGTTTTAATCACAAATTAGTCACATGTAAAGATGGTAATGAATAATGGATTTAGACAGAAATTCACTGCAACTGTCTTTGAAATTAAAGTTTTTCTAAATTGCTAAAACACTAAACGAATGCCATTCTCTGAACCAAATCCTCAGTGGGCTGAACCCATTTATTGACCTTTCACCTGGTAAATTCAAGTTGCAGATCTCATTTCACCTTTTTGCAAAACTCTTAAGACATTTTCACTCACTGAAACACACTGTGAACTGTGATGCACTCGTGCTGCATAATGGTAACCACAGGTAGCAGAAGTTAAACACAAGTACAGCACAGATGTCATAGCTTACACACAACGACTCAAAACTGTTCACACTTGTTGCTAATGATGTGATGAAACCAATATGAACCAGTTCAGAGTGCACAGGCTTTTGAAGGTTGAAGTTTGAAAAAAACAATGAAGGAAAATAATCGGAGAAGTAGAGGAAGAAGAGGAGGATGAGGAAGAGCAAGACCAAGAACAGTGATTTCAGATGAAATCTGATCAACTGTAATAGACCATGTTCTTGTTCATGGAATGACAGTGAGGGAAGCCGGACAAAGAGACCAACCCTCTGTGGCAGCATAATCAGGAGGTTCAGAGATGAGATCTGGTATGAATATACAGTATATATATTTATACATACAAACACATGTATGACAGTCCAGTAAAGTACAAAGATGCGATACTGAGGCTGAATGAATCACTTCTCGAGTTTGATTTAGCAGTTATGTTAACAGTGTAATGTGCTTTTCATTTGTCTTTGTCCTTTTTGCCTTTTGTGTTCTGAAGTTTTACTGTTTGTAAGTGCTGAATGCAGACATTCAACACTTTATTACCTACTTTAGACAATATTGTAACTGAGTTGTGAAAATAAAAATGCCTTTAGTCTATTACAAAGAGTTTCTGGAACTACATACTGTGTTTTCCATTTTTCTATGTAGTGTGTAATGAACGCTCAGTTAGTTTGATTGTGTTTGTGTATGATCTGAAAACAGTGTTTGACTTTGAGCACAGATAAACAGTTTTGAGGTGATTGATTCTTTTAAGGAAAGTCAGAGGTTTCGTGAATCCAGTTGACCATTGGGTTTGGTGTTACAGTTCTGAGAAAAGTGTGAAAGGTTCCACGAATTGTGTGTTAGCAATTGTAAAAACTGTGATAAAATCAAATTTACCACTGGGTTATCATTTACCATTGACTTCATGTACTAACCTTTACTTTACCTTCACCTCTTCCCTACTTCATAACAGTTTACATTATAGCTTCACATCCTCTGTCCCTCGGTCATTCTGCTCTCATGTGTTTACAAAGTTTCTGTTCGGTTTATTCCTTCCACCAAACAGGTAAGCTAATAGACTTGTTTTTTCTTTGCGACGTTGGCGCTAACTGGAACAGTTAGCATTTAGCTAGCTAGCCTAACGCTGTCTTGTTCAACAGTTGGGATTAGCAAAGTCTACATTCTGTTAATTACGTTAGATAATTGGCGTATCACCCTATTTCAACAGTTGGCTTCTTGGCGGATCAGTGAATCAATTCAAATTCATTAATTTTAACTGAGGGATAGCCGTGATAAAAAAAAAAATTGACTTACATTGGCAGTTTGTTCTCTCCGGACTAATTATGTTAATTTCGTAAAACTGTGATGAGGATGTACCGCGGTTAAATATGTTTCAGTTTCTCGTTTGGACAGAGACTGTGTCAGACGTCTGCGTTTCACTGCTGGTCTCGTCTGACGGACTGCTTCACAGGTGAATAAATTGAGCGCACCGTTGCTATGGACTACAAACGGAGTGGTACCTTCAAGGATTCAAAGAAGTGTCAAAATTACGAAAACCTGACCTTCTAAGGCCTAAGCCCTGAACATTCACAGACTTAACTAACGTCAGTCGATCATGAATTGAGTGTGAAAGGCTGCAAGGGTTCAAAATGGTATAAAGAGAAATGGGACAGCACTTTGTGGCATATCACGTAAAATATGTTGTATACAATTGTGGGTTGGGGACCTCTTGATTTTCCATTCTTTATTCCCTCCCTTCGCCCCCTGTTTGTAGACAAAATATATTTGATCAAATCTGATGAAAGCAGATTTGTAATTTATCATCATGCCATCATAAGAGAAATAACTATACACTGTTCTGGCTCTGAATCCCCAGTAAGCTCTGTGTTTATACAGTCATGAGCTGTCTTTTTTCTTGTAATACTAATGTTAGAGTTCGTTCCTCTCATGCTTGCTTGTTAACCGTTCTTGTTCTAGCTTACTATTTTTTCTGAGTGAAATGAGCTTAAGTATCTGAGCAGCAGCCATGATCAGAAATGTGCCACTTCTTTAATTGATAAGGAAATGTGCCTCAGTGTTTCCTATCTTATCTCCTTAAGGACTTTCCTTTACGAAAGAAAATGATAAAAATGCCATCCCACAATTCCTTGCTGCAGCAACATTTAAAGCGATGCACCATTGTAGTTGACCCACAGCCACGCCCACAGCAGACCCGCCTAAATGTAGAAACGACAGAGCAGTTGTATTGTGTTTGTGGCATGATCTAGAACCAGTGGCAGCTGCTGGTCTTATAAGGAGGGGAAGCTCATTTTCGGCCTACATCATAAAATGTGTCCGTTTATTTATATGTAAATTCGCAAAGTGACAGAAGAGAGTCGCCAAACACAACGCTAGTTGTTTTTAACAAAGACAAAGTCACTGAGGATCAGTAACGTCTCCAGATCAACTCCGCACAACGGAATGAAAAACTTGAAAAATGCTCCGGTGGATGCTTATACTTCAAGATCGCTGATTCGCTCATTTCGCTGTCAATTAAAAAGGGACTCAGCCTCAGACAGATCATCCAATCATCATGAAGAAGCCGAGCGTCCGGGCCAGCCCACTGCCCCATAGACCCCCAGAGACGCTGATCGTCCGATGTGCGGGACAAAGCCCAGCATTTATCCAATGACCGTCTAGTTTCGCTGCGGTGGAACAACCCACTCTATGCTTCCCCATTGAAGTCAGTATACGCTCGGCGTCTACTCTGTGTAAAGCACTGTGGCGCTGCGGGGATGAATGAGAAGGAAGTCGTGTCGGTTACCTGTGATAAGTAGCTGATTCTGAACAAAAGATGAACGTGTTCTAGCGCATATTTAGTCAATGAAATGTACACACAACAGCACATATTTGACCACTTATTTTGTTGACATTTTAGGGGAAGCTGAGCTTCCCTTGCAGTCTTAGAGCAATCGCCACTGTCTAGAACTTCTGAAAATCCTTGTCTGATCTACTGAAGTCCAAACCCATGAGTATAGATTTTTCTCTTCCATTTAGCAGTCATCATGAAGAACAAACATATCATCTTTATCATCATCATAACAATCTGTACATAAATGTTGTTCCAAAACTGCTCACTGCATCAAAATTAATTTTCTCTACTTAACAAAAAAGTCAAAACTCTATATAACCTACTTATGTCTGAATAGAATTCATGCTGGCCACTTACTCAGCTGCTTGTTTTTATTTAATCATTACTTTAATGCTCAACTCCTTCTATTTGTATCATTCTTTCATGTTTTCATTTCAACATTTCAATCCTGTTTGTTTTGTGTTTGTTGTGAGTTAGTTAAAAAAAAATCCTAGTGTAAGTGAAGTCAGATTCTTTTCATAAGTCCTTGTGAATTCTCCTGCACATCTTTCCTTGACCTCTTGACATTTCCATCAAGGTCAAGGGGAAGTGGTTAAAGAAGGAGATTATTTTTGCCTTTTTCGACTGCAGCCCGAACCTCTCTCGCCCTTTCTTGCAAACTTAAACTCATCAAACGTGACTCAGTGTTCAGCATTTTCAGTCATTTTACAATTTGCCATAGTAATAAGCATAATAATAGAAACAGAGTCTTATTTAAAGTGTGACCAAACCTTAATCTGGATATGCAGCCGGCTCTAGAAGAGTCCTGGTTGTTCCATATCAGAAAGATGGAGACCACTATTCTTCTCGGGAACATTCACTGTAGCAGAAATGTTTTGAGCCTCGACACAATCCTGTCTCTGAGTTTATTTTTGTTTATTGTTGTAACCATGTCAACCGGTCAGGTATGCCTGCCACCACAGGGGTGTTATTTCAAGAGACACTCCTATGGGTCGTATCAGAGGTTTGGAACAAACGACCCGTGTGGTTGTTCAGGTTGGAGGAGTGGTTGGAGTTTCCACAACAGTTCAAATAAAAGTCCTCCATTTCACACATCGACCACATTCAGTCCAGACCCTAGGTTTGGACCTGGTCCTGTTTCATTACATTTTCTGGTAATGCGCTTTCACATAGTTAAAAGACCTGGGTTACAACAATAATCTGAAACAGATCTACTTCTGTTGATGCTTTGTCCAATAGAGCAAGTTGCTCAGACTCACTGTTGACTGGGAGTTCATTTTTACAGTATAATGTACAAGGTGGAACATTTATTCTAATAGATTTTTGTTAAATTGTTCAATTCAGTGCCATTTGTTTGTTTAATTCTCTCCATTCTCTTCAATCAGATGATAGTATATTTAGATGATAATACGGTGTTGTCTTCTGATCAGAGGTCCCTGTTACTTAGATCCATTTACAGTCAGCAAACACTCACTGATCCACAGTAGTTTTATTTACACAGGAGCAGAAAGATCTGATGTTAGTACTGGGGAAAAATCAACCTCCATCACAAATAGTTACAGGATCAGATCTTTGGTACCAGGACAGATCCAGTCAGAACATGGATGGAGCTACAGTAAGGTGACATTTAGAAGTGAAAACATAGACGTGGGAGGAGGGGGGTGAACAGCAGGAAGGCAGTCCCATTAGGGATTCACTAGTTCATCTGAAGTCATGGGGGAGGGCATGCTGTCCAAGGCTCCCATCTCTGTAACAAACACACAGACACAGACAGACTGTCAGACCACGGGTTTGTCAGTTCAACCATGTCAAAATATACCATATTTACAAAACTCACCAAAAGCTCCCAAATATGATGTATACTTCATCAATGAGAAAATATTATATTATATATCCATGTTGTTTTTTTCTGTTTTTTTAAATAATCTTTTTATTTGGGATACAACAATGAATACAGAAATATATGATTACAAGTGTTTCCCTTTTTTTTTTTAGCAGGAACATCCCCCAGGCCCTCAAAGAAAGCCTTGAGCCCAAGAATACACAAACACTGTCTCTGTATAGAAAATAAAACTATAAATAAGCACTATAAATTATAACATAAAAATATATCAAATGCAGTTTTGTGGTTTGTTTCTATGGTGTTCTCATTACATGGTGTTCCCATTACATCCAGAAATAGATTCATGATGATGTTGGTGCCCACCACGAGGGGAAACCTTCCACTATATATCTTTATAAATGAATGGGCATTCATGCCAAGGGGATCAGTTGTATGTAGTCCTATTAAGACTTTGGTATTGTAGGGCATAATGAACATTTTACCCTCTGTGGGCCTTTAGTTAATTAGTATTTATTTCTTGATACAGATCGATGTCAAATTTGGCCTTACAGGTGTCTCCTGTATGAGCTCGCATTCACCACACAATCAGATTCTTTACCATTTTTCTCTCAAAGATAAGGGTGTTTTTTTTTTTTAAATCTAAAGATCTGACATCCTGTGATGAGTTGCATGTTGAGGGTGCTTCATGTTCAGCCGTGAAGAGCAGAAACAGACACCACAGCTTTAGAAAATGTTTGAGAGTGTGTTTTAAACTTCCCCTGAAGATAGAAAATAAGAAGTTAGTTAAGACAGAAATGATGAGCATTACCTTTAAGTTTGAGGTACGACAGGAAGTCAATGACAATGTGGATGATGTCTTCATCTGCTATTCTTAGGGCACCTGAGGAAGCAAAGCAGCAAAGTGCAGCCTGTTATCATGCTGTTTAAAGCTGGCAGGGCAGTAAGGTTTGACAGGAGCTCTAGGGAAACAAATATCTCCATATACCAAGATATACTGATACAAGGAAAAATCTTAAAGTTCTTCAACACAACAGTGATGTGAATTACGATCATGATATGATATAAATAAATAAATCAACATTCTGTAAAAGTCCATTGAACGAACGAACTTCAAGCAAAATATGAAGGTTTGTTAAAAAGTCCATGGTGAAGGTTGTTTGGGTGTAACTACAGTGTGTTGTTGTGTTGCTGTGTTGTTTTTGAGCGTTGCTGTGTGGTTGCTTTGGTGCAGTGGTCTCTGAAATGCAGTAATTATACAGTTGAGTCAAGTTTCACATCATCAGTAGTGAGATGGAGGGCACACAGTCTATCTTCTAACAGTGGATAGAGGAGGATTGTCCTGTTTCTGTGCGTGAGAGACAGACAGACCTGTTCTGAAGTCCTCCTCCTGACCCATGTCCCTCTTGCCAGCCAGACCCGGCTTGTCTCCTAGTGTCCTGTGTCCATCTATTCCATCTGGACAAGGAGGAGTGATCACAATCGACACAGTCACACAAACAGCAGGTGGGTCAGCTGAGCATCTGACTTGTCTGGTTGATGTAAAGTTAAAACTGCAGTTCAATTTGATTAAAGTATAAATATGATTTTCATGTTTCATTTTCAAGAAAACCATTAAACACACACATTTTCCTAAATATCCCGCTGCTGCAAGAACATCATACATTACACACACATACATACACAGTGAACACATGGCACACCTCTATCTAACTCTTGTAGAAAGAGCTCAGGGAAATTGTTGTACACTTGGTTATTTCAGCATGGTGTTTGGTTTGTAATTGTTTGGGTTAATTTCCAAACTCGTACAGACCACCTGCAGGGCTTGGCTCACAGAATTGCAGTAAAACAGATTTGACCAACAGAGGGAATAAAAAAGCACATCTAAAACAGGATGGACTGTAGTTTGAACACACAAAGGAAATGCATTAGAATAATGATGATAAAAATGAAAAGAAAATAATAGACAAGCAAAGTGATGGCAGGGGCATCAGTAGCTCTGTGTATTCCTATGGAGTCGACGCAAAGTTTTCATGGGCCTAAAAATCATATTGAAATATATAAGCCCTCATCCTATGAGCTTTTCTTTAATGTGTTTTAATGACTGGTGGTTCTGTTTACATGCTGCAAAACAAACAGGTTCACTTCTGAAAGTGTTTTTAATCATTAAAGACTCTATTAACTGATTAAGTGACTGAAGTTATATATAGAGTTATATATATATATATAATATTATATATATAGTTATATATATATAGACATATCGTATAAATGCATTCAATAGCTGAGTCCCAATTCAGGGGGCCACATCCTTCAGAGGCTGCATTTGAAGACCGCCGTCGGCCTCCCTTCTCAAGGGAAGTCTTGGAACCTCAAGTTTTTGTGAAAAAAAGTTATGTGTTGTCAATCCTGCTAGGCAACAGGAGCCGGGGGCGTGCACAGCTGGTGATGCACAGCAAATATCTTTAGACCAGACCGTCTCATTTAGGTTTGGCCTTCACGATCTACATTGGCTACAAAGGAACACACCTTTGTAGACCACGTCCTTCGAAGAATGCGGCCCCTGCATTGGGACACAGCCAATGTAATGTGCAATGAGAAAGGATTAGTTCAACATCACTAGCCTATATTATGTGAGTTAGCAAGCTGATAACAATATTTTGCTTTATAAATCCTATTTCAGAAAAAAACCTCCACACTTTGTTTTATCACTGGAGAGTCAAATATAGTCCATAGTCTCAAATATAAGTTATAACCAGACCAGTGTAACTTTCGTTAACTCATCTATAGACATGATGCCGCTCAGTAACTTTCAGTCTCGTGTACGTCATGTCACTGTTCTGGCTGGTGGCGAGGATGCTCGCTCACGCCGACCTATGGCGAGCAAGCACATACATACGAGCAGCAGGATGCTGACTGCAGTTCACTTAACGGCCACCAGTGTCATTAATAACAATGGTTTTCTGAATGTTACATTTAGATTTTTACATTTACTTACATTTACTTTTACCCAACAGTCTTCTTCAGGTATATGTCTTTATCTTTAGAGTTCACACTCTCAGTTCACCACTTGACTCTCTGAGTGGTTGTGATGTGTGGTTGAAGAGGAGAGAAGCTAAGTGGCAGTAATAGTTTGACTCATCTTAGCGGCCTCCCCATTAGCTGAAGTGGTGCTTGAGCTGGAACCTACTGAACTTTGTGAGTGTGTTGAACTATGAGCATTAAAGTCCTATCATAATACATGACCTTTGATAACCCCAAGAAGGAAAAATAATGTATTTTAATCGTTTTGTCTTTCGAGTACAAACTGTTCCTCCTGTCTCTATTGGCCCCGTACTGCTTTGGTCTTTATATTTAAAATTATGTCTTTTACTGTTAAATGCCATGCGTTTTTTTTTTTTACACTTCAACAATATATTGTTTTCTTGAAGATGTGAAACTTTTAATTTTTTAAAGTTTATTTTTTGGTATCTTGGCCATCAGTCGACAGTCTAAAGAGACAGTCCATTTTTATTAATGTTACCATGTTTTTAACATCAACAGAGCTCAGTGGAAAAACTCACTACGTTATATAAGGAAATTACAGCAAAAACAAAAAAAAATGGACAGACCAATGCTGTTATTTCTTAATGTAATCAAATAAGACACATGTGACTGAACGGTCAATTTACAGAATCCTGAATTCATCTACAACCTGACATTTTGGAAAAAATTTGTGTTTAATCTCTTTCCCACAATCACACAATCTCTTCTCCAGGATGCAGCTCAGTCAGAAACTTTATGAACAGTAACATGTTTCTGTTGTGTCAGCTAACAAGGTAGAAGAGCTGACTCTGATCATGTGTTTCTCTCTCTGAAAACCAAGGCAAAAAGGAGAAGATGGCTGCTGTTGAAAATAATCAGCCAGTCTAACACCAAATGTTAAATCCAATCCATTTTGAAGCATTAGACTGTCTTTACTTCCTAGATTAGTGGTTTAACATCAGAATGAACCAACAGAAGCCCACACACATCACCTTGTGTGGGGTGTGTACTGTAAGAGGCCTTAGCTTAGCACAAAGACTGGAGCAGAAACACCTCGCAGAGCTCCTTCTAAAAGACAACAGCTCCTGACCGTCTCATCTACATGTTACACCTCATTTAACACATGGAAAATTAGAAATGAAAAAGCACAACATGAAGGTTTAAGTTACTAAATTACTAGCTTGATGCAGCATTAGAAAAAATTAGGGACCTTAAACACAAACAAAAAGACCAAAATCATAAACTGTTGTTAACCTCCATCCTCCCTCTCCAGCCCACAACCTCACTGTGCTGTGTGTTGATGAAACCATTACGCTGTCCGTGGTGCTGAAGTAACAGATGGATTTATACAAACTCCACATCTGATATTAAATTGTCTTTAAAGTAAATATCAAGAGCATTTTAAAAGACAGTTTGTAGCAATGTTCAGAGCGAACTCAGTCTCCTGAAGTAGTGATGTAGCTGTTGTTAGAGTTGCTTAGTGATCTTTGATTTCCACTACTACGGCAACGCGTTGGAATGTATACGGGCGCCGTAGCCATCGCTTCATCTGTTGCTGCTTTAAGTCCCTAATGACTTTTAAGGCCAGACTTGGACTCGCCCTCCCTCTATGGCTGAGCTTTTATCCCCCTATGATCCAGGACTCAGTCTGAGATCCTCTGGTAGTTCACTGCTGGCCATTCCAAGGTCTGGGTTGAAAACCAAAGGAGGCGGGGCCTTTGCTGTCAGGGACCTAAGCTTTGGAACAACCTGCCAGAGGAGATCAGACTCTCAGAGTCAGTTCAGTTTATCTTCTCTACTTCTTAAGACACATTTTTATAAAAATATAAAAATTCACTGGTGTGAAGAACTTTGTTACTTACTGTCTTGAAAAGTGCTATACAAATAAAGTCTTAGTATGTTATAACTTTGGATTTGGTACAAAGCGTGGAGTTAAGCTATCACTTTGTGCTAAGCTAGGCTATCCTGGACCTACAGTATCTCTGCACTGGATCAGTTGAAAGTAATATTAAATGGCCCATTTCTTCAGTAGGAGTTGTTTGAAGTAGCTTCCAGCTCAGTTTGTTGTTTTTCCTTCATGACATTTTCAAAACACAAAAGATCAGATTTATGATGTTGATGTGATGTCATATTGCACATATTATAACTACAAGCAACTCAATGGCCAGAAACCATTCACAGTTACTACAAAGAGAAATACTACGTGCTCATGCTTATGACGTTGTAAATCTACAGGTAAATGCAAAGTGCTCTTGAAGGTGAAATTGTTAACTTTAGACAAAGGGAAGCCTCTGGGCTAAGTTCAGGCACACTCGCACAGAGCCAAGGATATAGGTAAAATGCCTTTATTATGTTAGGGCATATCAGAGTAAAATATGTAACAAAAAAAAACCTAAAAAGGGGGAAAAATACCATAGGATCTTTCTCAGGGCATCGTTGGAAAGAAAAGTAAACCAGAGTGCAGTGTTGTGGTTTCTTATATAGACAGATTTCAATAATCTAATATCATATATTACAAGTAGTCTATGTGGACAAGAAGATATTAGTTACCATTATCACATTTTTTAACCATAAAGAAAGGAGTACACCAGTTTATAAGAAGGGTCTGAAATCTATTTCCTCATTAAGACTTGGATACACCAAAGCATCAAATTTAAAAATCTCTCTCTGAGGGATTTTTTTTATCATTATCACAACACTCTACTCTGGTTTACTTCTCTTTCCAACCACGCCCTGATGAAGACCCTGTGGTGGTCGACACCGGTCCACCTTTTGTCCTCTTTTGGGATTTTTTGTTACTTATTTTACTCTGATTTGACCTAACACAATAAAGGCATTTTAACTATATCTTTGGCTCCATCCTGAAGTTAGCCCAGAGACTTCTCTTTGTCTAAAGTTAACTCTTTACAAAAGCTGCAGATATCAGGATTTTGGACAGTTATGAAAATGACCTACAGTCGTCTCAACAGAATGCTTCTCTGGCAAGCTCATGTAAATTAAGTCCATCATTAACATTAATATCATGATTCAGCTGATAACATGTAGCTGTACACTGTTTGTTTATATCTAGATCTACTTACTAATTAACCACTAGTACTAATTAAGACTGGTCTAGCTGTGGAGGTGACCATTTTAGAGTAATGTGTGAGTACTGATCAGATGGGGTAATGGGAGGTTCTTCCACAGTGTAATCCCACTGTGCCAGACCCTTCCTCACCCAACACACACTCATATGAGGTCAACACAAACCCCTGAAAGCACAGAGTGAAATGCAAAGAACGTTTGGATGCGTAAGCGCAGACAGCAGCGGGATGACAGACTCCGCCCTGTGATGATGAGAGGCAGAAGCAGCTAAGAGGTGGGATGTTTGGACGCAGCAATTCCTGCCCTGACACCAAGGCCCTGCAGCGGCCGTATGTTTCTATCTTACATTGAGTGACCAGCTCGTCTCTGCCTCTGGCACTGGGAGAATCCTTTATCTGAATTAGGTGATCAATACGACCTGAAACACAGGATGAGGCAGGAGCAACCTTTACCTGGGCTTCACACACACACATACACACACACGCAAACACACGTGCACACACTCATGCACACACACACACACACACACACGCACGCACACAGAGGGACAACATTTCCAGGGTTTTGGACCAATTGAGATCCCACAAACTGGCAAGAACACACACACACACACACACACACACACACACACACACACATGTGGATACCTAATGTGTCCTCTGAAGATAATGAGGCAATCTTTAAATGACACTAAAGTAGCTGCGACAGAGGACGGGGACAAAGAAAGAAAACAGACCTGGTATTTTGTTGTGTTACATAGGCAACATTTTCAGGCAACACTGGTAAAAACCCAGCGAGCATCAAACAGATCCAACAGTTCAGTACAGACACCTGACGTCTACTCTGCTTTTAGAATAAAAGTTCCTTTTGGTTAAAGTTCACACCAACACCTCTGAAACTCCCTGGTTAACAACTTAAATCTGATCTTTAAAAGTGTAGATCTTTAATCTTTAAATGTGTTGGTCTTTGTATGAACACATGAAACATTGATCACAAAAACACACTCTGAGAAAATAGTGTGTAAATTTGAAGCACATTTAGCCGCATATTTCAGGGAGATCTTTCAAATGTGGATACAAATACTGAACTTGGCACAAATCATTGGGTGTTACTCTTTTGATAAAACACATCAGCCACTCGAATATTCAAGATGGCCCACAAGTTCACCCACAATTTTCCCATATGAATGATCTAGGTGTCAAATCAAACATTTTAACAACATAGAAGGAAATGTGTCGTACACAAAAAAAAATTAAACTTGCATGTGAGTACATTTCAGCAAAAATATCAGCAAAATTTCCTAATAAAATCATGACTTTGTGATGATTTATGCATTTAGAAAGATTTGAAGATGAAGATGCATTTAGAGATTTTTTTTTAACCAAAAATGTTGATTGATTTTGCAGAATATTTTTCTTTCAAATGGTAACGTGAATTTGACATGATAGGATTAAATTTAAATAACTGAAATCTGTACCATGGTGAAAACTCTGTGCTGGAAACGGTGGCCATCTTGAAATTTCAAGTTGCTAATGGGATTTTTCAAATTAATTGCCCCAGAGGGATAAACATACCAAATTTTGGTGCTTGTATCCACATTTGAAAGATTATTACAGTTAAATCTGCTGCACTAATTTGCCATATAAACTTTATAGGGTGACAGTGTATGGATGTTTTCACTTTGTTCTGCTGCCCCCAAGTGGCCAAAAATGACTGCAGCTTTAAACTTACTTAGAGATTGGATTTATAGGAAATGCAAACACACCATGAGAACTACAATCCTACATCAAACCTTCACACAGCAGCTTTAGATTCTGAATATTGGGGAAATTTCCATGTAAATTTCAAGAGATAGTTCAGAAACTTAGCTAAATGATCTATTTCATTATGTCTCTCTTCAGATTAATGGATTATATTTATGTAGATGTACATCTTTACATGTACATCACACTTCTGATTTCTTCACTTTCTGATCTGTCAAAAATCTAAAATTTTGATTTTGAAACCAAGAGGATAGATGGAAAGGAAAATATGGTAAAATGGAAAATAGTCAAAAGAAGAAGTATCAGTTGTGCAGTTCATGTCCACAGTTATCTACAGACAGTTTGTCTTGTCAAAGCAGGAAAAGCACAGTTGTAAATAATGAACAAAGACTTTATTCCATTAAGTGTCCCAGTAAGCCATGTTAATGAGTGAGCACCACAGCACTAGAACTGGCTCACCTAAATGGGATGCAGCCATCGTTAATATTATTAATTCTGACTTTGTTAAGTGAAAATGTCTGCTGGCTTCACTTCATATTTCCTCCAATCAGCTGCTTCTGTGTCTGCTGTGATTTTTCATCATAACAATATCACTAAAGGCAATGTTGCCAACTGCAATGCCACAAAATAGTTGCCTATGTATCATAACGTTTACAGAATCTAAAGCTTCTTCCTTTGTTTGCTATGTTTTACAGAGTGCCTCAGTCCTGGCTCTTCTCCTGCCTCAGCCTTCGGTGAAGGATTTTATTTAATTCATCTCTAAAATGTTGTGTCAAATGATTTATCATTGAAACCTTTTCCATCCACTACATTTAAAATGATAGTGAACATTAACAGGTCCGGATATTATCAGTCTAACAGGCTGAAAATGAGCGAGCAGCTGCTGGCTGCGCTCACCGAGGCAACTGTGTGATATATATACAGTACATATATAATCAAACTGTCAGTGTGACCTGCCTTATACACTGGTCTGACCCAACATTTAAATAAACCATGTAAAGTTTGTTGGATCAAAATACGTCTTTTTCATCACCTACAGGGCAGAACAAAGATTCTCTAATATTCACCAGAATAATGTCACATGAGATCAATAACTCACAGTAGGTGCGAGGGTTAAAATGTGAAATGTGTTCTCATAGGACATGACAGAGACATGTTGTAACTGCTGTGAGAACACACACTGTGCTGTCCTAAATCACATTTACAGACGTGCTGGAGTGTGTGTGTGTGTGTGTGTGTGTGTGCGTGTGTGTGTGTGTGTGTGTGTGAGTGTGTGTGTGTGTGTGTGTGTGTGTGCAGTCAGTACTTACGGGGACCTAACAGGTAGCCAGCACTGTTCAGTGTCCAGCCACGCTTCTCCTTCGCCTGCAGGACACACAGACACACAGATCAGATCATGGACCAACACACACACACACACACACACACACACACACACAGAAAGTCTCGTCCTTTATGTAAAATCTAAAGTACAGATACCCAGTGAACATTTGAAATAAATAACTGAAGCAGTCAGTAAATAAACACTAAGTTTTTCACTTTAAAACTCTTGAAACACAGACACCCCCCCCACACACACACACACTAACACACACATACACACACACATACACACACTGTCCACAGGTTAAAAGCCCAGCAGCCAAATGTACTTTTATCATGTTAACTCCCATTTTAACCAGTGTACACTCCCTAACAGAGATCTGTATTTAATCTGATTTCACTTCAGTAGGTTTTGTCAGCTTTTTTTTTTTGGGGGGGGGGGGGGGGTTTGCACTGCATAAAAGAAAAACTCAAACAGCTGAGGATCTTTAACTAAATTCTGCTCACAGCTGTACTGGTATCATACAGTCTTTGTGGATGTATCAAGAACTTATTTGACACACACACTTATTACCTACTTTACATACTGCACATTTTACTGTACAAACCTTTGTATAAGCTACAGCTCTATTCTGATATTTATATCTATATAATTATTGTATTTAACCTCTTTCTATACACTCACTGTCTATTTTTTATATTGTCATTTTTAATCAGGCTACATAATTAGTTATTTTTACATTATTTGTCACTTTTACATTATTACTTTAGGGGAAACCGGGGCATCTTGTCACACCAGTTACTTTCACCTCAATGTCTTGGTCTCAGTACATCACAGTCACTCATTTTCCAAGTTAAACAATAAAATCTTGTGCGCAAATGTACAATTTTTATATTTTACTGCTCACTTTAATACAGAGTTGTCCCATCAGGGTAAGTTGTCACACTATGCGGGGTAAATTGTCACATTATATTTTTCAGATTAATTAAAACCTCACCCCCATCAAACTCTTAACCTTAACTCTTCCCTTTGTCCTTCCAACCCTCTGAAAATTCCTACAAAAACAAGATATTTTATGATTATATATATTTTTCTAATTAAAGGTTTATCATACATCCTCCCGTATATACTCCCCATTTTATTCTATATAATTGTTTAAAATCCAGCTCAAATGAAAAATGCCTTTTTTTTAACCATATTGTATCCCTATTTAACAATATATGCCCAAAAAAATGAATGTCTTTGTTTGTTCTCATGTCAAAATTCAACAACAACAAACAAATATCATGTGTTCTTACGTCAGCACGCCTCCACCAATGTTAACCAATAATAGCAGGTGGAGAAGGTGTGGCTGTGGAGTCAGAGGCAGACAGCAACAGCAACAGCGTTACAGCTAACTTTAGTTCAGGACTTTGTTTTAGGTATTAACACACACCGTTTCTGTCCTCTATCATGTTCAAAAGTAACATCACTGAACACACTTCTGTGTCCAAGTTTTATTACATAAATAGTGCAGTTTAGATTTTTTACTTTTAGGGTTGCAAATTTGAAAATTGTTCTCATATGTCAAGAGCAAAATGACTTCAGAGCTGTGCTGACTAGTGAACATCTTACCGCGATCACCAGCCCGATGGTCTCAGACAGAGCAGCGCAGAAGATGAGCGACACGCAAAATATCCCAAAGCACCTCTGCATCTGAGACAGACAGAGGAGAGAGGACATGAGCGGAGAGGAGGACACTCAGACACTGTTTCATCATGTTGGTCAGCAGGAGTGAAGTCTGCAGAAGCAGTGACTTACCTTGGATGTGGTTTTCCCGCCGTCTGTTCCACCTGAACTCAGCCGCAGAAGTTGGTGTATGTGTGTGTGTGTGTGTGTGTCGGGGAGACTCAGTGGTTGGGATGAAGTGAGGACTCCTCCACCTTTTATTGTCGCTGCAGCCCGACCCCGCTGCTGTCAGCCCGCGTCAGCAGCCCCCCTCCTGCACACAGGATGGGCAGGTCACGAACAAGGCGCGTAATGAAATTCAATATCATATGAGTCCATCATCAGATTTTTCTTTGTCGCAATCGGAGACACTGGATTGAATTTAAAGAGGGAAAAAGGTCTGCGCGATCCTTCTGTCCTAATCTGATACAGTGGCTTTAACGTGTTTACTCCAGGAGCAGCAGAGGGTCAATAAACATCTGTTTCACGAGCATCACAGACTTTATCTTTTAGGACCTCTTCCCTATGATTATCTTAATGTCTTGTATGTCTTTCATGGTGTTGGTGCAGATTTTTACTGATTTTACTTTGACATAAAATTTGGTCAATTACATTTTAACAGAAGTAGCAGAGCAGTTGTGCTGATATAAAAATAAAGATGGAAATTAATAGTAAAATGTATCACTTTAACCCCAACATCCTTGATACCTGTACTAAATGTAATAGCCATAAAGGTTCTTTGTCTCATTGTTTGTGGGAGTGGCCCCATATAATCTGTTTTTGGAAGAGGTTGCTGGATTTATCCAGTCAGATCATAGGCAAGGAGGTTCCTCTTAACCCTATTGTGTATAGTATGCAGATGGAAACTTCTAGTACTGAAAACTGAAAATGTCAGGTCGACGCATTGATCAACACATCAGAGAATATTTCAATCAAGGGCAGAAATCACACTGTGTCTTTTCATACAAGATTATCTTCAGTTCTCGTCAGCTAACAAGTTACTAAGGATTGTTGCTAAGGAAGGAGTGTTACTGGGCCTTAGAGTATGAGGTTCCGTCAAAATTGTTTTCTCCTGATAATATCTCGTTATCTCGGAATATCGAGTTTTGTTATCTTGAGATGATGCGATAAAAAAGTATTTGTGAGTATGTGCCTTTCTCAACTTCCGTACAAACCAACTCCACAGCAGCAATTCATATATAGTTCAGCACCATGGACAGAGCTGAAGATCGCCCACATGAGCCCTGGCTCATGCAGGTGTAATGGTTCAGCACCATGGACAGAGATGAAGCTCTGTTCCATAAAAGACACCCACAGCAGAATCCAATACCCCTCCCTCCTCCTGTCAGTCACTACTTCTACATAAACACATTTATCAGTCCTCACCCTTGTGTGGCTTCACCAACAGGTGTAGTGTCTCATAACATTCATTTTATCATCATTATCATTCATCTTTCAAATCCAATCTATTGCATTGTGGAATTGTTAGCAGTAACAAAATATATAATGTGTTGTATAGTTAATAAGGAATGATTTCAGACACAGCATATGTTCTGTGTCGTAGATATCACAAACAGTCAGACTTCAGACTATACTAGATAGACTGAGTCTAAACTCATCTGTTGCACAAAGCAGTTTAGTTGTTGACTATCTTAAGCTGGACTGTGGTACACTGAATTCTGGGTTAATAAAGACTTTTTTCAAAATTTAAAAAAGGCCAACCGAAGAACCGCATCCAACCACTCCATTTACCCCCAAAGAAAATGTTTGTCTACTGGAAGAATTCAGCATGTTTTACTTGAGAGAAACAGTAAAAAGAAAAATTTGATTTCGAAAAAAAAGAAACCCTGCAGTCTCTAAAAAGTCTCTTCCTTCTCGTTGCTCTCTCCATAACAATGTTAGCAAACCACAAATTATGAATCATGTTTTATCGTTTTTTTGTTGTTGGTCAGTACTGGTGTAATGGTTGTTACCATGGTAACATTGGTCTTAGACCTAAGTTAGCCTGGGGGTAAGGTGTCTACAGTTTTTTGGTTCAAAATGAGTCAGTCTTTATTTGAGTGAAACAGTCTGACAAACATCGGACTGATCTGTGAGCAACATGAAGACTGGACCAACACTACAGACCAGTCTGACACAGCTTGGTGAAACTGGAGCCAGATCTACTGGTCTATGTTAGGAGGCTGTGTGAGGCCAAAGTTTCAGGCCAACACACAAAGAGCCAGGGAAACAGGAACACTGAGCAAATCTTTACAAGTGTGTGTCCCCACACAGAAGTCACCGGACAGAGTGGGTTAAAGCTACTGAGACAAAGCTGCATCCTGAATGAGCATCATGTTTGAAATATTTATTTTCAAACAGAAAGATTCATGCAAGGTCAATGAGGCTTGTTCCACACTGTAAAAACACCCACTTCTATTGTTTAACAGAAATAAGGATTACTAGATTCTATGACTTAAATGATCACACACTCTAATACTGTAATAAACTCAAGGTTGTAATTTAGCTAGAAATGTTGATTCAGATGTATGCAGTTTGTGGTGCAGCTGAACTGTGTGATTTCCATGTGTTTATATATATATATATATATATAGCCATTCATGAAGGTTGGATTGATTGATGAGCAAAATATTTTTTATTAACTTGCATGTAAACACTGTCTGTCCTCTTCTAATCTAAAGCCCATTATGATGCAGACTTGTTCTGTCTCAGATGAGTTTTCTCTTCTGACTTGTTGGTGCAGCTGCTTTGACTCTGTTTTAGCAAAGCTGGAAATCAATAATCAATACTGATTTGTTTTCTATGTGGGTACATTGTACAGATTAGAGTTACTGGTAGATGTGTCATACAAACTACACAAATAAAAGAAATAATGCAGGATGTAAATAATGGAATGTAAAATAAACTTGTACTTGTTAGTGACCTGGATATGATGTTGGTCAATGTTATAGAAAGAGAGAAATTATATGGACATATGTAGCATTAACCTGCCACATTGTTTGCCAGCAGTCAGTCGTACTGAACACATCCCTGGTTTGTTTGTTTTATTTGTTTGTTTCAAATAATAACTACTACAGAGATTGGCCTTAAATGTAGCTATTTTTGATGTACTATGCTTGTTTTTCCACTAGCCAATGAACTTTTAAAAATATAATAGTTCTGTAAAATGACTGGTTAATACTATAAATGTGATAAATGAGATTTGTCTTTGCTTTTATGTACTTACTGTGTATTTATACATTAGTTCTTATTTATTGTACTGGAAAAAAACAACATCTTAATAGACCATTACTGTAAATATACTTGGCAGTTTCTTAAATGAACTAATAAAAGCCATAAATTAACAGAAATAAACCTGAAAGGTAATTGTTTTTAATGTTTTTTGACATATATTTGTTATGCTCCTGTTAAATGAACATTTATCAACAATAATATACTGTAATTTAATCATTTTTGACTGTAAAATCTGCTCTGCTCTGTATTTTTACAGTTTATTACATATAATTTTGTGTTTGTGCATTCAATCAGATACTGCCAAGATTGCGACAGTGGAGCAGCTCACTCTGAGCTTCAAAACTGCTCTTTAGAAACCTGTGGATGACGTCACAAAGGCTTTGTCCATCTTTATTTACAGTCTATGGACTGAACGAGGGACATGGTGACACATGTTACCACAAAACAGCATCCTCCAATCTGGAAACAGCTTGGTTTGTATGTTGATGCTTGTAATATTGTATGTCTGCATATCGTAGATAAAACCCTTTGGTGTTTTAAAAGATAAGCTTTTGTGATCTGGACAAAACCTTTTTTAAGTTGCCCATCAGGAATATTTGTGTTATTTGATGTACCTTGGTTCACAGCCCCTCTAAATACCTAATTACATTATCTTCTAATACACACTTTATATCTACAGTGTAAGTGAAACACCGTCTCTCTCTTTCTTCAGTAGGAGCGAAAAACATCATCAACATAAACCTGATTATTATAATGTTAGAGGCTGAAACAGTGAAATTAAACAATGTGTCATCTCAGTCAGGACCCAGAGGAACCTGCTGATGAAGCACTGAGGTTCCCTGACACCACACTGGGAGCTGGATGGTCTTGATACTAATAATCAATCCTAATAACCTTCATTCACTTTGGTCCTCGGGCTCATCTCTGCAGAGCAAACAACTAAACAACTAACAGAGGCCTGATCAGCTTTTTTTTTTATACTATATATATATATATTAACTGACAGTGGAATGCATTGTCCTGACATTTTCAGTTTACAGCTCTAGAAGTTGCCATCTGCATCTGATCTCTGATTAACAAAGTAATTATGCTGAGAACAGATAACGGGATAATCATCTCAAAAAATCTAAAAAAAGAACCGTTTTCTCCTGATAATATCTTGGGATAATGAGCTTTGTTATTTTGAGATAACAGGAAAATAAATATTTGTTAGTATGGCCTTTCTTGGCTTCCATAAGTATCAGTGGAAACTGCTGACAGGTCATCCTGAGGAACTCGACATTTGTTCAGTTTTTCAAAGCAGTGGAGTAGATATAAATGTCACTAGAGAGAAGAAGGAAACGATATTCTTCTTATTTCTTAATTTACTCCTGAACAAACTTGCCAGGTCTGTCAGGTCATGCTTTGATTAGATTTTATTCACAGTGAAGCAAAATAAGCCAATAAACCCACATTTATCGCCTGACTTTGATTCAAATGTTGCTTAAATGCAGTTGGTGCAAGGAAATACATATTACTGATCTCCACCCATTCAGAACCAATGAGAAGAGCACGGTCAGAAATCCAAACACAGAAACCTCAGCCAATCACATCACTGGCTCTGCCCTGTTTGTTCTGACTGACTGACACTATGAAATAAAATTGTCATTTTGAAAAAGAAATTTATTCTGGAAAAAGCATATGTTGAAAAAAATATATATATTTTCAATGTGCACTGTCCTTTTCAAATAAATAAATAAATAAATGAAATGAATGGTTTAGAAATGAATTGGATTCTTACATGATTATATTAAATATATTTGTATTTATTAGTGTGACTATTTATATCATTAGGTGTTATTAATTTAATATTGAACAGTTTGGGTCACCACCTTTTCCGTTTGAAAAATTCTGCTGAACAAGAGCCGGTCTGAAAACAATGGACATCT